GGCTACCAATGTGGTCATCTACTAGTAAAATTGAGTTGTCATGGGAGATTTGCCTTTTTTGAAAGGACGCTATGTTCCTGTAGAATCCTCACCTTATAGATACCTTTTACATAGTATGAGAAGTCATCGTAAACAGTGAATGAGGAGACAACAGGTCCGCTCCTCATGATTTCCCTCTGAATAGCTTTGACCGAATTCGGTAAATTGTAATAGTCCTCACCTGAAATCCAATCTACTGTATGCGTCTACAGCTTTCTAGTTTCCCAGTCGTTTTCATTATTGGAATACCTCTTTTCTGATAAACATTTTTAATCAAAATTCTTTCTGTACAAAGCGAAAACAACTTTTCAGTAGAGCTAACATGGTCAATTTTCAGACATCAGTGATGTCCTGGAGTAATTTAATTTATTCTGGGGCAGTTTCAGTAGAACATAGCTGTAGGGAAAATCAAGCAGAGAACGTCTTATATTATGGAAGTTATATGAAATGCAGGACCACGGCATTTGTCTTACTACGACTTACCTTTCTGACGTGAGTAAATTACTTATGTTTCCTAAGCTGTGCAAGACCGACACACGTTTAATTTCTGGAAAGCTTCGTTTGAAGGACAGTTGAAGATAGATTTGAACTATCTACTCTATGGCAAGTTGTGGTGGGGCAAAATAGGTTGCGAAGGAGGCGCAAAAATCGTCGGAATTCAAGAAATATTATACTTCAAAAAATAATAGGTTGATGCATGGTTATTGCGAATTTTTTCGCGGCCTCTTTTCTCTTTATACAATTTGAATATTGAATTCGGAAATCAATATAAATAATCTTCTTGCCTTCTTTGACAGGAATATGTATAGAAGTCAACTTCATATACGCCACGTTATGCTCTGCTACTTCAAGGAAGGTTAGAAGGTGGCAGAGTCATTTCGCGATCTCAACGAACTTTTCGGCACTGGAACAGTCAGCCAAAGCCGAATAAGGAATGGAATCTGCTGCTACGGTCGTCCTATTCACCAACAGAAACTCCTATGGATTATTACGTCAATCCCCGTTGAAAAATTGGCTAACAAACAGAACTTTCGACGAAATGGATGGCTGATGGCCGACGTCAAGGAAGGATCGCCTCCAAGAATCGAAACACCTCTGCCTGTGGAGTCTGACTGCTTAGCGAATGGGAACCAGAGCTGGACTTAAATGGTGAATAAATTCCGAAGTAATTGTTTGAACATGTATTTGCTAAGTATTTCTATCGTTTCTTCAAGTAAAATCTGCTGGAAAAAAATCTGCAATAATTATGCATCAACCTCGCAATAGCAGAAAGGGGGTTGTATAACAGTATGATGGCAGAAGTGGCATGGAAAGGGTATTTGGAGGGCTATCAGTTTGTGTTGTCGCGTAGAGCTGGCTATAATAAACCAAAAATGCGAAAAAATGCTTTCCACTGTTGTCATGGATCACGACTGGTTGTTTGAGTTGCCCACATGTGCGCTCCATTGTAAATGATGCAGCCTTCGCAATGCCCCTGCAACACGTCCGCCTTTAGGTGTGGACGTCGACAGAGCAAGCCTTTGGACACTTGATGCGCTCTTTTTGGATTCGCGGCATGCTTTGGAGTCACTGGTTCAACCTAATTGGAAATATCACAAGCCATTCTTATTGGGAGGTGTGCCTTTAACTTCAAAGAACTATGCATACCCCAAGTCTTGTCCCTCCTGTACGATTTCTTGTAACTTTTTTGGCATTGCTTCACACATGTTGGAGTGCTTTCCTCTTTCGGGCATTCTCCGTAATACGTTTCATTTCCATGATGTCCACATGGATGGAACGGATAAGGACGGCAGCCGTTCTAAAAGCATGTTCAGCTCAGGAATTTCGTGTAAAGCTGATCTCATGACTACCTTGGAACCGTAGTCTCCTCCAGTGACGGCACCCTGATATGAATAATATTCGAAAGCATCAATCGGCCATCCACCTTCACATCTGAAACGAAATTTTACGGGTACTAGGGAACCGTGCTTCCTTGATTTTATTGGAAACGGTGATGGGACAACTTGCTGTCAAGGAAAGTCAACACTAATATCTCTAGCAAGTATGCTAAAGACGCTACTGGAGCAAATTTTCGGAATTCAAAAATCCTACCCAAAACCGCATGAATCACAGCATGACACAAAGTCAATCGACGAGATATGCACCTGAAATTCTTCGCATTACTTTAGAGCGAAACTTCAGAATAGTTGTTTAGTTGCACCTGCTTTTTTTGTTTGCT